CTTTTTACAATGTTTTACGTCAAACGTTGAATTGATGTTACGTGTTAAAAATTTGTAATATGATAAACATTTTGATTGACACTTATTACCATTGGTTATTATTGACCATAATTCCCAAAAGAAAATTAAGCAAACAATTTGTTTCTTTATATATTTATATACATCAAAAAGTCGAGGAATATTTTTAGAAACAGACGTAATTTTTTCTTTAATTATTTTGCATAAATAAACAACAAAATTTGTTGAAATATCAACAAAATGAATACAAAGTATAGCATCCTCCCGGGTTTATTGCAGCTCTTCATCTGTCGTTCATAGACAAAATGATAATTGTCGATATCCTATCGAGGACCGCTTGCCCATGGTTACATAACACTGTCTCGAAAACTAAACGGCGTGTATATGTTACCCATATGTACATATGTAAAGTAATTCTTCGTTGAAGAATGTCCCTTACGAAAGTTATTAATGTGTTGCCCAAGGAAACACATTATATCTTTCGTTGGCAAAACAGTCTGTCACTAGGCGTGCCACATGTGAACGAGCATTATCATGCATGAGGTGGAAGTTTTGATCAACAGCACCAGCAAACGGACGAACGATAGGTTGAAGAGTGGTGTAGACCTACTGCTGAGCTGTAAGGAATCGGTCTGGAAAAACGAGGTCCGTTCTGCCACCGATTATTATTACATCTCATACCATTATTGTATCACCTCTGTATGTCTTAAGCTTTCTACATTTCCAGACCATCTCCATACTCTTAGTCAGTAAGAATCTGCAATCATTTGCATCCTAGTTTTGATATTCTTGACATGACTCTAATCTTATAGCATGATTGCCTTTAAAGAGAGCTAGACAACTTATTGACCTTTGACTGTGGAGATCGGCTTCATAGAGACGATTTCTTACAGTATAACGACCTATGGTGACCTGGTATGTTCGCTGCAACTCGCTAACCAATTCAGGTACTGTAATTGTTGGTTGTCTTCTAGCGGTTACCAGTAAAAATCGGCCTTAAGGTCAGTTGTAGCGCGCTCATGTCCTGGATGCGGTTTGACTGGACTGCCATTGTCACAAAAACGCCGCCACAATTGACTTATACTTTGAGAGATTCCAATTCGCTCAGCTACATGAGTTTGCCACATACCACATTGAACAAAGCTATTGCCCTATTCATCTTATTCAAAGTTAAATGACGTCGTTCCATATTAAAAAACGACATTTTCAATGTACTAACTAAACAAGAACTTTATAGCAAGAACAAAATCGAACTACCAGAATCTTTAATGTAGTATAAAAACTATAGTTTTTTCCTCTACTGTAAAAACTTTAAATATTCGTTACCACTTTTGCCGTTTTATTTTACTCACAAAAATCTACAGGACGAGCAATTACATAAATTCAATTGAAAATAAACGACCACATGAATTTATTTTCATTAATTCTATTATATTATAAAAATATCCCTAGACTTTTCAGTTATATTTATATATATGTATATATATATATATATATATATATATATATATATATATATATATGTATATATGTATACAGGGTGGTGAATCGTCAAACGGACCATAGGAAACTCAAAGGGAAATTCTAAATTGTTGAATTCCTGCTTCCTAATTATTTTACACCAAAAGCCATGGGAAACTATTTGTAGAGGACTCAAATATGTATCGAAAACAACTGTTAAAAATATTCTACGACTTAAACGTATTCCAAAATTTTGCTAAAATATAATACATTTTTCTGTGAAAATATGTGTATTACGTGTTGCGTTTTGTCATATTATTGTTTCTGATATTTGACAATATTTAAATCAATTATATTACATTTATCTATGATTTAAATGGCCAAAATTTTGTGATTTATTGTTAAAAAAAATTAAGTTGATTAAAAAATGTACTCAGTTGAGAAGAAAAAAGCAGTAATAAAAATGTTTTATTCATGTTTTATTATAACATTTGTTATAGTTTTATGTTTAGAAATTATCATATATTATTATTAGGAATAAAGATCACAGTAACAGTATATTGGAATTCATTAAAGTGTTGTATAACTTAACATGGAATTAAATTTTAGTGAATTAGAATATACGTTAAATAAAGATCCGGTAGTGGCAGGAAAAGGTTCGCGCTATTGCCTGAATACAACATTATGCGATTTTTCGTCAACTGAGTACATTTCATTATTGATCGATTTGTAAACAATATAATTTATTGTTCACAAAGTAATAATGTTCATTAGTAGTAGTATTTAGTAAAATTCATTGTTTATAATTTAATCATAAAATAAAAAAATTGACAATTCAAATTGTCAAACATCTGACATAAATATGATAAAACACAAACGTCCTAATATATATTCTTGCATTACGTGTGGCCTAAATTTTAGGGGTGGCCTGAAAATGTATTATATTTTTGCAAAATTTTTAAGCACATTTGAGTCGTAGAACGGTTTTAACATTTGTTTTTAATTCAGATTTTAGTCCTCTACAAATAGTTTTATATGACTTTTGATCTAAAATAATTAGGGAAGCAGCAATTCAACAATTTAAAATTTCTCATTGAGTTTCCTATGGTCCGTTTGACGATTCACCACCCGGTATACAAATATCTTAAACATTAACAATCAACATTTATTACATATTAATTTGAGTTCATCACATACTTTAAGTTGATACATAGATTTCACTGAAAATTATCGATAGGAATTTCGACACAATGACATACAAAAAATTTCGTACAGAGGGTCCCTCAACAACAAAATGTAATTATGTTTATACAACATGAGTATTTTTAAAATATTCTTAATACATCCTCTATGAAGTAAAATATTGTTAGATATACCATACACACGATAGCCTAACTACCGTATTTTGTAGATTGTCTTGGTAGTGTACATTACGGGTGTCTTATCGTGTTAAAGATTGGACATAAATTGTTGTATAATCTATGACCAATATTTTTGTTACACCCTGTATACATATTTGTACAAACAATAACAACAAGATCCAAAAGAAAAAGCACTAACACAGTAATACAAACTTACAGGTGACTGCTCAAAAAAATACTTCGGTCAAGCTGGTAGAATCTTTAACAAACGAATAGCAGAACACAAGAGGGCTTTTAATCATAGAAAAACAGATTCTACGTAAATACTTCACCTTCTAGATCATAATCATTCTTTTAATTATCAATTCAAAATTCTCTATATTCAAAATAAAGGCCTTAAGTTATCTTTATTAGAATACATATATCTCTTAAGCAACTCTCTCTTTCTCAACTTACTCTGTGGAAATAGCTATAGTGGTAATAAATTATAATAAATTTTGTGGAATTGTTGAAAACAGTTTTTAGTTATTATTCTTAGATTTTTACTAGTCTCTCTTACTGACATTCTTCTCCACCATAATCTTTGTGTTTTAATTTGATTTTTTTCCTACTGCTTCCATTACTCAGCAGCGATTTTAAACATCGTTCTTTATCTACCATTCTCTAGTCTTTGACAGTGGTCTCATATGTCATGTCACTATCTTTAACATGCCATAAGCCCTCATGCCCTGTTGGGTTTGTTTTAATAATTTTTTTACACATTAGTTTATGTCTCTGTCCTACCAATCAACGTACTATTTTTAATTAACAATACAATAATACTTCTTCTTCTTTAAGTTCCATCTTCTATCGAAGGTTGGAAATCATCATGGCTATGCGGACTCTGTTGACTGCCGCTCTAAAAAGTTCTGCACTACTGCATTCAAACCATTCCCTCAAGTTCTTAAGCCAGGATATTCTTCGTCTTCCCACATTTCGCTTTCCTCGGATTGTGCCCTGCATAATAAGTTGTAATAATGCGTATTTTTGCCCTCTCATCACATGTCCCAAGTACTCAAGTTTTCGTCTTTTAATAGTTAATATTATTTCCGCCTCATTTCCTATCCTTCTAGTTACTTCCATGTTTGACATTCTTTGAGTCCATGATATTCGTAGGATTCTTCTGTAACACCAAAATTCAAAGGCGGCCAACTTATTCAGATGAACTTGTATTAGTGTCCAAGCTTCCAGACCATAAAGAAGAGTAGAGAACACGTAACATCGAAGCATTCTCAGGCGTAGTTCTAACCTTATATCCCGACAACAAAGAAACTTTTTAAGTTTAATAAATGATGTACGTGCTATTTCAATACGTGTCTTAATTTCTTTGGTTTGGTCTACATCTGATGTTATCCATGTTCCTAAGTATTTATAGTTATTAACACTCTCAATTGCAGTATCTTCAATAGTCAATTGGATATTTGCATGTGCAGATTTAGTCATGATCATGCATTTAGTTTGCTTTAAATTTATCTTCAGTCCGTACTCATGACAGCGTTCACTAAGGCGTTGCATTACGTTCTGTAAATCATTGTTGTTATCCGTAATTATTACTGTATCGTCTGCAAAACGTAAGTTATTCAAAACTTCTCCATTGATAGATATACCTTCTATTGAGTCTGAGAGCGCTTCTTGAAATACCGCTTCACTGTAGACATTGAAAAGTAGTGGGGACAGCACGCAACCCTGGCGGACTCCTCTCTGTATTTTGATATTTTCGGTGTACTGGCTGTCAACTCTTACATTGGCAGTTTGATTCCAATATAAATTAGATATAATTTTCAGATCACGACTGTCAATATTTTTGCTTTTTACTTTTTTGCTTTTATATATTAATAATAATACTAATTAATATTTTTATAAATTTGTATTACTGTATTTTGAAACAGATATCCTTATTTCTAGAATTCGTTAAATAAGAATATTTTAAAAGTAGTCAAATGTTTGTATTTACATACAAAAATGTTTACCCTGTTAACAAGAATCCCCACTAAAATATACCCAGTAATATTATTTTATTTCCTAAGAGACATTCCAAAAAAATAGATGACATCAACAATGACTTAACTACCACTTAGAACACTACCAAATAGTTTACAAATTCGTACTTCCAAAATATAGCTACCTCCACGTCGCTTGGTTTAGGTCAAGGTTGCTAAAATAGTAGGATGTGTATAAGTAAGAAACTATTATGAGGGCGAAGATGTTGAATGAGCTATTGGACAATCCATCTGAACCTGTTTGCATTGCAGCTGGCATTTCACCTAGAAGAAAAATATATTAGTGATTTGTAAATATTGCATTTTTTGTAGCTATTCTCATATTGTAATTTTGACACACTAGATATATCTTGTACACTACATTTTGAAGCTTATTTTTAGAATTATCATGACTGATAAAGAATGCTTCTAAAGATATGTAGGAGAGATGCGAATAAGTTATATACAAGTAAGTGCCCGCAGATTAACTGAGAACATGTCATATGGTATGTCATTACTGATTCAAGGCTACAGTGGAATGATTTCTGCTGTTGGCTTGATAACAGACACTTACACGCAAGTGACAGAGAAAGCCGAACATTCAGAGTAAATGATTTTATTTTAATAAAATTTTGTATAAGTATTTAAAGTAGCATAATAAGTAAATGATTAAAATTTCAAAATGATTGCATTGCTTTAAAGCCCTTTTATCTTTAATAATGTGTGAATGAACCCCGATGTGTTACGCATTCTTCAACGCGCCTAGGCATGCTTCTGATCAGGTGGTCAATGTCGTCTTGTGGTATCTCATTTCATGCAACGACCAACTCCTCTCGAAGTGCTTGTAGAGTCTGAGGAGGACATTGCAAATTGAGCAATCTCCTACTCATCATATCCCACACATGCTCAACAACGTGACATCATTATGTTGAAAGAAGTCTATTGTGACTCTTGCAACATGTGGTCGAGCATTATCTTGTTGGAAAGTTGGATTTGCCAGGGTGTCATGATAGGGTAAAAGGTGGGGTTCTAGAACTTCTTGGATACAACGCTGCGCGTTCATGTTACCTCTGATGAAGATTAAAAGTGACCTGGAACCATAAGCTATAGCACCCCAAACCATAACTCCAACAGTGTGATGAACATGTCTTCCAACAAAAAACTGTGGATTCTTCCTCTCACCACGTCGCCTTCTAACCCTAGCTCGGCCATCGTGCATCATCATCATCATTGGGTTTTACAACTCTTCGTGAGTTTTTGCCGCGTTTACTATTGCCTTCCATTGATTCCGATCCTGTGCTATTATTTCCCATGGCCTTACTTCCATATTCTCCAGGTCTTCCCTGACTGCGTCTTTCCACCTTTTCTAGACCTTCCTGTCGATCTTTTACCATCTGGTCTTTCCCAAAACACATTGCTAATCAGTCTGTCGTCATCACTTCGTACCACGTGGCCTGCCCATCTTAATCTATTGGCTTTTATGTATCTTACGATGTTTCCTTTCCCGAAGAGAGTCTATTTCATTGTTGTATCTGCTCCTCCATTCATTTGTCACGCTGTCCCTGCAAGGACCATATATAATTCGCAGGATTTTGCGTTCCCATACTAATGGCTTATTGATTTCTTTCTTTCTCAATGTCTATGTTTCACTTCCATATGTCACTGCTGGTCGTATTATGGTTTTGTACATTTGGATTTTGGCACGCCTTGAGAGAAGCTTTGACCTCATTAGATGTTGAATGGCAAAGAATGATTTATTCCCCGCCAGTATTCGTATTTCAACCTCCCGTTCTCCTGTGTTTTCACTGGTAATTGTTGCTCCTAGGTATTTGAATTCTATGACCACCTCAAAATTATGATCGTTTAGGGTAATGTTTTGTCTTATTCGCTGTCGTTCGTTTTCTGATACGACCATGTATTTAGTTTTTTCTTCGTTTATTTTCAGGCCTACGCTTAGTGTTGCTTCTTCAAAGTTCGATACTATATCCTTAACTTCCAGTGTTGTCTGTGCTACTGCATCTACATCATCTGCAAATGCGAGAATAATCTTTGCTCCTCTGGCAGTTATGTCTGGTTTGACTCTGGTATAGATTTTTCGCATTGTGTATTCCAATGCTAGGTTAAATAGTCATGGGGACAGCGGGTCTCCCTGTCTGAGCCCGGTGCCTATACCGAAAGCCTTTGAAGTTTTGCCTCCTATTCTAATTTGTGCAAAGGAATTGTTGACACATATTCGCGCAATCATGGTCAGCTTCTTTGATACGCCTAACTCCATCATTGCACTCCACAGTTTTAAGCGATCTATGGAATCATATGCTTGTTTGAAATCTATGAAGATCTGGTGTACTTCTTTATTATATTCCCAATACTTTTCTAGCATTTGTCTGATAGTAAATATTTGGTCGATTGTTGATCTTCCAGGCCTAAAGCCGCATTGGTAATCGCCAATAATTTCCTCTGTATATGGCAGTAATCGTTTTAGTACAACTGAAGCTAATATCTTATATGTAGTACCGATTAGTGAGATTCCCCTGTAGTTGCCACATGTATCCTTTCTGCCTTTTTGATGTATTGGCACGATAATACAGCCACTCCATTCTTTTGGCAATATTTCTTGTTCCCAGGCTTCTTTCATTAATTGGTGTATTTAAGTTCTAAGTTGATGCCCTCTTTTTTTAATCAGTTCTGCATCAATATTGTATAGTCCCGAGGATTTGTCATTTTTTAGGGTTTCCATCGCCGTGATAATTTCTTCCAGGCTTGGCGAAGGTACTTCTATCTGCCATCGTGCATGCCTAAACAAAATCGAGACTCGTCACTTAAGACAATACTGTTCTATTCCTGATTCCAGAGTGACCGTTCTCTGTTCCTCTGAAGGCAATTACGACGGAGTTCTGGAGTTAAAGGGAGGACCCAGTGTGGTCGGTATGAAAACAGGCCAAAACTTCTCATTCGTCGGTAAACACTTCGCATGCCAATAGGTCTTCCATATTCTGCAAACCATTTATTTGCAATGGAGCTGGTAGTGGAGAAATGGTCTCTTAAGGCCAATAAACTTAGGCGGCGATCTTCACGGTCTGTTGTTCTACGGCGGCGTCCAGTGCTCCTTGCTTTTTGCGTACGGCCTTCTTGAAGCCATGCCTGACAACACCTAACCACAATGTCTACACTTCTTTGTATTCTAACTGCAACTTCCCGAAAAGAAAATCCAGCTTCCCGAAGTCCCATTTTACGGCATCTATCAAACTCACTAAGTTGACGAAATCGTACAGGTCTTCGTACTCTAGGCATCATAACCAATCATAAAAAATGTCAAGAACCACAATCCGCCAAATATTTATCTTTACTGCGGCTGAAATATTCATTTTTAGATTGTTAGTGAATTTAAAAAAAAAAGTATAAAAACCGGAATCTCCAACTGATAAAGGCTAAGAACTTCATCACTTGTTTTTTTCAGTAAATTTGATTGAAATAAAATCATTTAAACTGGGTGTTCGGATTTCTATGTTACTTAGTACATAATAATTCGACTGTCTGTGACACTAAGATCAGGCAAGCAAGGAGAAACTACTTGATTATTTTCCCAAAAGAATACGGTACTTATGCACTTTTGTAGTCGTGAAACCACAAACGGAAAAAGGGAGACAACAAATGAGATACACAGATGATCTTAAAAAACAGGATAACGCAAAATGGAAACAAACTGCCAGCTATTAAAAGAAGGTTTACACCATACACCTTTCCCAGCTATTAAAAAGAAAACAGCCATCCGAAGCAGAAAGCCTGCTAAATCAAAAATTATTACTTTGTCGCCGTACAAACAAGAGTTGGCGATTTCATTGGAAAAAGCAGCTACAAAAGCAGCAGAAAAAGGAAAAGCAGAAAGGAAGGTCTTTGCTACTTCTAAATTAGCAAAGTTGGCAAACAAAAAAAGGATAAAACAGAAGAAACCTGAAAGCAATTCAGAAGAAGATGAAGATTTTATATTAGCTGGCGAAGACGATGATTTAGAAGAAATAGATAACATTCCACAAAACAATGACACAGAGGGGATGTTTTGTGATGGTCGATTTTCAGAAGACAAATTGTGGATTGGTTGTCTGATGTGCCAATTATGCGCACATAAACAATGTTCTGGCGCAGAAAATTTTATTTATGATTTTTGCAAATTATCATTATCATCATCATCATCCAACCTCCACTTATCACGTCTTCTGCTGGACATAGGCCTCCCTTAAACTCCTTTATTCTTTACGATTTTGTGCTCCTTGTTGCCAATTTTTGGTGATACGCCTGATGTCGTCAGCTTAACGTTTAGATGGTCTGCCCAGTTTAGTTTCAGTTCCGCTATACGTTCCATATCATCAGCAATACTCGTAATTATTCGCAAATCTTCATTTCTTATTCAGTGCCGCAACGTCATTCCCAGCATAGTCCGTTCCATTCTTCTCGGTACCACTCTCAATTTCGAAGCCGTAGTCTTGGTTAGAGTCATAGTTTCCGCCCCGTAGGTCATGACCGGTAATACGCATTGGTTAAATACTTTTCTATATATATATATATATTCAGGGATTCTACAGTATTCACTGCCTTCCCTCGTTCAACCGTTTCCATCTCTCTCTGTCGTTCCATTCTCCATCGTTAAGGCCTCTCTTACTCATGGCGTCTACTTCATTCCTCCAGGATCTTCGGGGTCGTTCTCTTTTCCTCCTTCCTATCCATCCCTCCATTCGGTTATTTCCTTTATCCATCTGTTGTCGCTGGTTCTTCTTACATGTCCATACTACTTTAGTCTTTTTTGTTCTATATATGTTAGTATGTCTGTTTCTGTTGATGTTCTTTGCTTTATTTCGTCATTATTTCTCCTATCCATTCTTGTTTCTCTGCAGCATCTTCGCAGGCATTCCATCTCTGTTGCTACTATCTTACTGCTGTTTTTCTTATTTATAATCCAATTCTCAGCCCCATATGTCATAATACTTCGCAATAATGTTTTATAAATCTGTGTTTTTGTCTTTAATATTTAAGTGTCTATCCCACCATACTGAGTTAAGTTGTCGGATTGTTGTTCTTGTTTGTCCTAATCTTTGTGTAATTTCTTCCTCTGATGTTGCCTTTATCGTGATTATAAACCCCAAGTATTTGAATTTATCCTTTCCTTTAATTATTACGTTATCACCAATCTGTAAATCTTCTATGTCTTTTTTCTCTTTTCTATGCAGTCAAGGATTTCTCTAAGTATATTTTGAATAAGGTTGGAGATGTGGAACAACCCTGCAGGAGCCTTGCAGGAACTCCCCGAAGGAAAATACTTTTCTTTAGAGGCTAATTGGTATGTTGGCCCTAAGCGTATCTCGCAGTTTGCCAAAGGCTGCCCACGCTATAGTAATTTGTCTTTGGATTTCGCATGTTTGGTTATCTCTGCTGATTCTTATTTCATGACCCAAATACGTGTATTTTTCCACCAGTTCCAAATACCTATATTTTTACAAATAAGATTATAAAATATTTATTTTTGTCAATAAATGATATCAGTAAAATTTGTGTTTACTTAGGTAACAGAAGGGGACCATATCCTTCATTCATATCCATCATTTTTGAACTTAATTTTTTTGGAAAATAGGATGCACTACGTAATCCAATAAGTTTTGTAGAAGGTCTGCACAAAAATATAAAAACATTGGTAAAAAAATTGAATATGTTATCCTATAAAGCAAAAGTGAAGGCCCATATTCGGACCATTTCCTGTAGTTTATTCTTCAATGATAGTGCGGTGATGTGTTGTGAATTAAGTAAGAATTTTGTTTAAAATATTGAATGTGAGAAAATTGAAAACTTACCATTTAATACAAAAACTCGTATACTTGCAACGTCAGCATTTGAAGGACTGCAGGAATATTTTCCAGAATCCAATATATCAGCATTCTGGATTAGTAGGAAACTTGTAGTCACATCTCCTTTTTCGGTGATTACGGTTACTCCACCACGGCTGGAATCATAACTGATAACCTGTTAAATGAATAAGATTACTAGTTGTTCATAGCTGATTGCAGGATATCAGGGTATGATGGAGGAGCGCTGATTGTGGTGTATATGTATGCCCCTCAAAGTCTGGGATAGAATAAAAAAAGTTGTAAAAGTCTAAAAAGGTATTTTACTGAACATTAAACTACCAATATCTCTCCCTCGTTTACAACGGTGAGGACAAAGAAGTTTATACAAGCTCAGGAGTAGACTTTTACTATAAAAGATATTTGAAAACAGCATAGAAGATGTCGAATATATTGGCCACAGAAGCCTAAAAGCACCTTCACGTGTAATATCAAAACAAATTCTCGAGGTAAAAGCATTAATATTGCCAAATATATGATCAGAACATAGGTAGAATATAGGGCTAGAACAAGTTACAAAAGGTGCTATGAGGGCCAGTAAGGTAGACCCACAAAGACAAAGGACAATGTCTTACTGGTTGAATGCTGAGACTGCGAACTCTAGGTCAGAATGTGTCGCAGGGTGTAGCGTGCAAGGAGACGTAGAGCAAATGCCGATCAGGTGCTGCCAATGGAAATATCGTGCGTAGAAGAGGGTGCTAAATAGGCTAATTCACTCTAGATATAAATAATGCTGGAGACGTGTGACGAGCTGGATAAGGATGCATAGAGACGAGGGCACAAAATTGTACATAATGAAATGTTTTGACACGTACTCTCTATACCAAATACCACTGAATAAGAAGCTCTCGGTAACACGGGAGTTAGGCGTCTGGCGAATGGCATGACATACGGAGGAATGCGTCTGCTGAGCAAGCTGAACTCTTCTTCCTAGACGAACTTGCTAAAGCATTAGGGGCCCTTAAAACCAGCAAGGTCCCGGACCTAGATGTGATACCGCCTGAGGTAATAAAGACCTTTCTGTCAGACTGGAAAATGTCGAAACTAATACTCTTGCCTAAGGGGGAGGAACAATATCGACCTATTTGCCTCTTTCCTTGTATATGTAAACTGTTCGACAGAATTCTGAGCGGAAGAATCGATGAAGCAATTGAGAGCTCTGGAGGCTTATCCTCCAGACAGTAATAATGTTAGCACAGCTGTTGGAAGTGTACCAAGCGTTTAATATAAAGGATCCTGTTGAGAGGGGCGTGATTGTGGCAAGATATTTTCTAAGAACTCTGAGAGTAGCCCAGGATAGAAGCTGATGAAGAGATATAGTTGTTAGTATAGTAGGAAATCACGACACTAGGTAATGAGGAAATGACTAGAGATAAAGAGAGAGAGAGAGATAACTGGTTTACATTGAATACACTTGTTGACTATTATTCTCCTCTGATAAAAGGTAGACATTTCGAGTAGTAATCAACCCATATTTTCAGTAAAATGGTCACAATATTCTAAAATTATAAGGTTAATCATCAAAAATCCAACATTTGTACTTACATTGTCGTGATGATACCAAAATATATAGGCTGGTGGCTCAGGACTAAATCTTATGGAGCAGGTTAGGTTGATGGTACTACCTTTATCGACATGTAGATCTGGTCCTCCTAGAATCTGAGCGGTGGGCACTGTAAAAAGCAAAGAATTTAAAAATAATGAATTGAAACACTGCATTTACTTAGTTTTCTCAATAATTACTTTAGCTTTGTTTGAAATTATTTCAATCATTCGAAAAATGGTTTGATTTAAATATATTTTTGTGTTAAAAATTATTTATCTTACTCGTCAACTGGAAAGTGTTAGGAAGCTTTATTGGCAGACGGAGAATTATTTTTGAGAACGGCTTGTAGGCATATTGAAGTAACTTTATATTGGATCATGTGTCGCTTAATTCTGAAGGTCTATTAACTGTCAAATGCGATTGAAAATATCTGTCATAAATTCTCGACCACTTACCTGACCTTCAACATATGCTAATGAATTGGTAATTATATCACCACAAATGTTCCTTCGAGGTTAGACAGAGGATGGTGTTTCTGATTGTGATGCAGTAGATAAGAGAACTTTATCCAGAAAAGCTTTGCATATATAAAAATTATTGAAGCATCTTAGGTGAAGATTTCAAAGTGTCACCAAGACAATTGACTTATTGGTCATGTAATCGATATTCTTCCTGGTAATGATGTTTAGATTCGACTAGTTATAAACGCTACAGAAAGAGGACAGTTTCTTAGACCCATCCAATGTCTCTACCCATTAGAATGCCCAGCAGATTCCTCTCATATGCCAGGTGACGCCAGATTTTCCAAGTGTAATTAACTTGATACATTTTATTTTTGAAACTCTATTTTTAGCCAATAGAAGTATTTGCTAACATTAGACTTACGTAGTTCTATATAAATGCACTCAAATTAGTAGAATCACTCAACAAAAAAAACAAAAACGTAAATACTAATTAACTATTATTCGATACTAAGCCCAACAAAAACACCAGAGGAGAGACATTAGCAACTTACGTAAGCACCAAAAAAATGTTTTGCCTGAGCACGTTCTATAAAAAACAAATACGAAGAAAATGGACATGGTGTAGCCTTGCGGCTAGGTTAAGAATGAAATAGATTTTATCCTTTCCAGTGATAGATCAATATGTAAAAACATTACGGTGCTGAACAAATTTAACACCGGCAGTGACCATAGACTAGATAGTGCCGATATACGTATTAACATGAAGAGAGAAAGACGAAAAATATTAACAACAAACCCTTTACCGACGCGACGGCAGACATTCTAGCCAGTAATAAAGAGAAATACCAAGAGGAATTAGTACGGAAACTCGTAGCAAATACCTTTGAGCACAAGAATATAGATGAACTAGCTGAGAAAATAACTAAAGACATACAAATAGTCACTAAGAAACTTTGTTGCAGAATAAGAAACCAAAAATAAGCTAAACTAAAACCCGAGACTCTAGAATAAATAGAGAAAAGAAGAAGAACGAACAGAGATAACCCGGACTATAAAGCGCTCAACAGAAGAGGTAAGAAAAATATTCCAAAAGACCTCAGAGCTTATAGAACAAACCCGATTCTTGAAACCATAGAGAACAATAAGAACATGAAATTACTAAAAACATAGGAGAAGATAAAATTACTTCAGAGATGCTAAAAATGAGAGGCGCTGCATTAGAAGGGGCAATGAGAGCATTACTGAATAAGTGACTATTAAAAGGAAAAATACCACAAGCATGGAAAAATCCGGAACTCATTCTACTCCATAAAAAAGGGAGAAAATACAGAAAACTACCGACCAATAAGCTTATTGTCACACCTTTACAAACTACTAACCCGAATAATAACAAATAGAATAACAGCTAAGCTAGATGCATATCAACTAGTGGAGCAAGCAGGTTTTCGTAAGAGTTTTATCACTATCGATCACTTGCAAATAATCCGGACAGTTATTGAAAAAACAATAGAGTACAACATACCACTACATCTGTACCGCTAAGCATTCGATAGTATCGAGGAATATGCTTTCTTAACAGCATTGGATGAATTCAGAGTAGATTCAAGATATGCTGCCCTTATTCAGAATATATACAATGATGCTACTTTTCACGTAAAAATATATGATGATCTGGGAACTATGAAAATAGACCTTGGCAAAGGTGTGAGACAGGGCGACACCATCTCACCCAAGTTATTTACTTTGGCATTAGAAAATGTCTTCCAAAAACTAAATTGGGCCGAAAAGGGATTAAAAATAGATGGAGTATATCTTAACCATTTGCATTTCGCAGACGACATAATACTAATAAGTAGACTTCGGCAAATATGCAAATAAAAATGTAGAAAATATGCGCATAAATATGCACGTGTTTACCCGAAAATATGCAAATATTTTACAAAATATGCATACGAATAAATAAAAAAATCGTAAAATAGTAACAATTTTATTTAAAAAAAAAGTGTACATAACTAAATATTTCCTACTATTCATTAAGATTTACATTTATTTTAAGTAACTACATCATTTTTAAGTATGAATAAACTTATTTAGAATTATGGTAACAATAAATGACCAAGTGGTGTTCAAAAATTTTATAACAAAAACTTGTGGCTTCTGTCTCAGTACATATATTTATATATGGAAAAACTTCGTTCAACATCAACTGATGTAACGGGAGCATTTTTCAAACTAACCAAAACATTTGGTTCTAAATTAATTGTTTCCCAAATTTTTCCAGCTAGAACACTGGCAACTTCAGAAAGAATATGGTAACCTTTATTTTTTTCCATAGTAACTTCAAATTTTTTTAAAATATCTTTTCCAATATTACCTCTAACGTTCCGACAACATGACGCAAATTCTTTTATTAATGCTGTACTTTCGAACAATGACCGTTTTGGTGATTCTAACTGAGTAATTGTTTTTTGAACAAAACTAAAATTTAATTTTATAAAGGAAAGTTCTTGTTGAAGCAAGTTACTCTGAAAAGTTTGTTTAGAATCCAAAAGAGATTGGGAACTTTCATCTGTTAACGTATCAATTATGCTCTTTATTTTAACAAAATGATCTGCATAAAAATTAGCTGCTTCTAACCATGTTCCCCATCGCGTTAAAATAGGTTGTGGTGAAAGAGGAATGTTAGGTAGCATTTCTTTATAAAGTTGAATTCTTATAGGAGATTTAAGAAATACTTTTTTGACACTGGATATCATGGTATTTACAAGAGGAAACTTTTTTCGTATTTCCTCTGCAACTCTGTTTAATCCATGCGCTACACAAGTAACATGTATTAAATCTGGGAAAAATATTTTTAAATTTTGTCCTGCTTTCACCATATAAGTAGCAGCATCCGATAAAATAAGCAGTAATTTATTAGAAGGAATAGTTGTCGGAAGAAAAAAAGTTGCTAATGTTTCTTGTATAAAACGCGAAATTGTTAAAGCATTTGTTTTCTCAAGTTGCTGGCATGAAATAAGATGAGATTTTGGTAAGGTATCTTCTTTAAGAACACCAATCAATAAATGAGCAATATACTTTCCTGAGGAATCAGTGGTTTCGTCTACAGATATGTAAAAATAATTATCTGCAATTTCTTCCTTAATATTAATTAACACCGACGGGTATAGCCCGTTCACATTATTTCTTCTTAGAGACCGATCACTTGGAACATTAAGTTTGCAATATTTTTTTAGAAACGAACTAAAATTTACATTTGCTAATTTTGAAAGCAGTATGTTTGCAGACACTAATGCGCGACACAAGTCTTCATTAAAAGTTTCTTGCTCATCTAATTTTTTTGAAGTAGATTGGAAACATTTAGCCATTGAAGTTTGATGTTTTCCTCCTATTTTTCCTTTTTTTGCAATGTGTGAAGCAGTTCTCACATGTTGGTCTATCTGAAATTTCTTCTAACATGCTATCTATAAATAAAAATAAAAACCTTTATTTTAACCCAACCTTTAAAATATAAAAATATACAAGGTGTTTTTGGTTAATCAAATAACTGGTTTGGAAAAAAAAAACACTCGCTAAGTGTTTTAAATGCAGTATTAATCCACAAATTAGTTTTTGTTACTAACCATTAGTACATCATATAACTTATTTTAAAATTCAACAAAAGTTTTTTTTTTGTTAATTCAATTACAATAAAAATAATTGTGTTTTAGAATAGCTGACTTCATAAAAAAAAGTAAAGGTGAAAATTTTTTCTAAATACACACCATTGTATTGTACCATGGACAATTTTTTCTCACTAAAGGAAGCTATTTTTCATTTAAAAACAACTTACGAGTACTAAATTTCAAGTAAATACGTTTATTGGTTTTAAAGTTATTGTTGTTATTAACTAAAAGAATTTAATTTTTTTTAATTTTAACACCCTGTATCTCGAAAAGTAAATAAGTTTGACCCCTCATTAACTATATCGTTTTATTCAATTTTTCGAGAAGTATCTACAGTCAAACGTTGTAAGTGTCATTTGGAAACACCCTGTATGTATGAAATATTAGATATTTAATAAAAAATATTAGATACTTACAATTTTGCCACAGACTGAACAGTAGATTTTTCCCATATCCATAGACAGCTCTTTATAAGGTTTAATCCAACTTGAAGCACTGGTTGTTTTAGGCATTATAAAATCACAATCTTCCTTTTTGTTACGCACAACGAGTGTTTACGCTTTGAATATCAAAACAAAAATGATTTACAAATCTGAGCATCAAATTAGAAATGTTTAGGTACCTAATTCAATAAACTGGGAGATTTTGGAAAATCCCTAAATTAGGAACAAAACTATTAGCCGTTTACCTGTTGTTAAGATACAATAAATTGTAGATAGATTTGGGGATTAGATCATAAAATGCAAATGAGCGAACCCTTAGCGATTATCCAATAACTGAATGCCTCAGTGACCGAGACTTTCTAAGAATATTGAGGGCTACTTAAATTGATCTTCTTTGAAATTGTAAATGTTTTGTACCTGTAGAGATTACGTACTTAGATCATTTCTTGATTAAAATGACTACAAAATTTTATACAAGAATTGAAAGAAATTGGTATGTTTAAAAATTTTCAAATACAGTATAAAAATCTGAACTTTTATGCACTTTATGCAAACTTATACAAATATGCCAAAATATGAAATATTTGCATAAAATATGCACAATATGCAAAATATGCAATATGCATATTTGCCGAAGTCTACTAATAAGCAAAAATCGAATCAAATAGGATAAAAATTAATCTCGACAAAACAAAGCAAAAGCCTAGAAAACATCACGATCGAAAATCAAGATAGGGAAGCGTGGAAGCAATTGGAGGAGGCCTATGTCCTACAATGGATAAATGAAGGTTGAAGAAAAAGAAGAATTATATATATATATATATACATATATATATATATATATATATATATATATATATATATATAATATATATATATATACATATCTATATAAAATATTTGATCTTGTTAAAAATGTCAGATCTTTATTTGGAAATTGTTTTTAAGTTGTATGTAACAATAGTTTAATTGGTGTCAAACTGTGATGACAAACATGATCATTCGCTATTACTCTTCTTAGAAACTATGGGACTAAGAGATTCACACGCTCTTATAAAAAGAAATGAATAACGTCGAAAGATGTTGCGACGTATTTCCGAAAATTTCTAATTCGACTCACAGTTTCCCAATATGTTATGTCTTTGATCGCTGATTCGAAATATATTTTTCTTTTATATCCTCTTTAAATCACAACACAAAGTGTTGTATAAAACATCAAAAATAAATTGTATCATTAAATCTGAAGCTCAACGGACAATTTTTCTCTCTGTTTACCCAGACAGGTTTATGTCGATTTTGTGTCGAACTATTTTATTTATTAGTTTCTGCTACTACAATTTTATCTGTTTTGGTTGTATTAAATATTTTCAATAGTTCATGTCGATTTCCGTAATTTAGTTTCAAATTTACAAACAGACATAAACGAATCCAAATATAAACGAATTAGGCATATCATCATAGAGGAAGATAGAAAATCTATTCTACTTTAATATTGGATGTAGATGTATAGATTAATAAAATAATGTGTAAAATTCTAATTAAAAAAATTAGCAAAATAATATTCATTAATAATGAATTAAAAAGTAAAATTATCATGGCTGTGCGAAGCGAAATGATTTCTAGTACTGATCATGGATACCGGATACCAAGATCCGGCAGGAGAGGTATACTTCATGACAACAGGGCCTCTCAGGTCGTAATTCTGCGAAATTCCTGTGTTAAAAATACAATAAATATTGGTACATGGAACGTCAGAAGCATGTACGAGCCTGGGAAAATTCACAACGTTATACAGGAGATGCAAAGATTAAACATCGATATCCTAGGCATCAGCGATACAAGATGGTCGGGTGCAGGCAACGTCTCGACAAGCAACGGTATGATCTATTTCTCAGGAAATGAATACCCACATCACAGATATGGTGTAGCAATTGTCGTTTCAAGAAGAATGACACAGTCTGTCACTAATTTTTCGTCAGTGTCAGACAGGATCCTGCTCCTACAATTGCATACAAAAACTAAAAAACTTAATATTATACAGGTATATGCTCCTACTGCAGATAAATCAGATGAAGAGATTGAGCAGTTTTATGAACAAATAAATCAAGTTCTAAAGTCTACAAAGCCAAAAGATGTTACACTTATCCTTGGAGACTTCAACTCCAAAATTGGCAAAGGAAAAAGCGGAAAAAATGTGGAAGAATATGGTTTAGGGGCAAGAAACGACAGAGGAGACAAACTTTTAGAGTTCTGTCAAGAGAATGATATGATAATTTCAAATACATTCTTTAAGATACCCAAACGAAGACTGTACACATGGACGTCCCCTCAACATACTAGGGAAAAAACAATTAGGAATCAGATAGATTATATGTTAATAAATGAGCGATACAGAAACTGTATAAGATCAGTTAAGGCTTATCCAGGCGCAGATGTTTTTTCAGATCATAACCCCCTGTTAGCGCGGGTACACATTAGACTCAAAAGATCTAGATCACATAGATACCAGCCGCTTACAAGATCCAACAATTAAAGAAGATTTAAAACAACATATCAATGATAACTAACGAATGCTTTCTACAAAGACAGAGAACACGCATGTAGAAGACAAGTGGCAAGATTTAAAAGACGCCATAATAAAACCTGCCCAGAAAATGCTTACCAAAGAGAAACAGAAAAAAGGACGAGAATGGATAACAGAAAAAATTTTAGGTCTCATGGAAGAGCGAAGACAGGTAAAGGGAAAATACAGCCAAAAATATAATGAAGTAAACAAACAAATCATAAAAGAAATAAGAACTGCTAAGGAAAATTTTTATACAAGAAAATGCGAGGAAATCGAAGAACTACATCTCAAACATGACACTTTTAACTTACATAAAAAGATAAAGGAACTGACAGGTACACAAAAACGAAAACATCCCAATCTCCTATGCAACGCAAATGGTGAAATAATAGCCGATCTACAAGAAAAGCTTAGGACCTGGAAGAACTATGTAGAAGAATTGTTCGACGATGAAAGACAAGAACCTAATATAAATAACTTGCAAGGCGACGAAGGACCAGAAATAACTAAAGAAAAACTATTATACGTATAAAAATAATGAAAAATGGTAAATCACCGGGTCCAGACGGGCTCACATCAGAACTTCTTAAGCTTGTGGAAGGCGAATCAGTGAATATTCTACTCGACCTTTTTAACTGCATCTACAAAAGAGGAGAAATACCAAAGGAATGGCTACTTTCAACTTTTGTAACCTTACCAAAAAAGGCAAATGCAAAACAGTGCACTGACTACCGCACTATAAGCTTAATGGGGCACACATTAAAAGTATTAATCAAAGTAATCCACTCAAGAATTAACAGAAAACTAGATGCAGATATTAGTATTATACTCAATTCGGATTTCGGAACGGGCTTGGAACAAGAGAAGCACTATTTGCACTTAACGTCATATGCCAAAGATGTCTAGATATAAACCAAGATATATATATATATATATATATATATATATATATATATATATATATATATATATATATGTGTGTGTGTGCTTTATTGAGTACAACAAAGCGTTTGATAAAGTTCGTCACGATCACTTAATGAAACTGCTAGTAGAAAAAAACTTGGATAAAAGGGACATTAGAATTATCTCTAAGATTTACTATAACCAGAAAGCAAATATCCGAATAGAGCAAGAGACAACGGAGGAAATCGAGATCAAGAAAGGCGTAAGACAGGGTTGTATACTCTCACCGACCTTATTCAATCTATACTCCGAAGACATTATAAACACAGCACTTTCGGATCAAAATATAGGTATTAAGATAAATGGCATTCGAATAAACAACTTGAGAAATGCCAATGACACGGTACTAATCGCAGAAACTTGGGAAGATCTTCAAATACTAATTAACAAAATAGTAGAATGCAGTGAAGAACATGGATTATCACTTAACATAAGCAAAACAAAAATAATGCTAATATCTAAATCACCACAAAACTTCCCTGACATAACCGTGCATGATCAAAGAATCGAACGTGTAAGAAGATATAATTACCTGGGAACTGTTATCAACGAAAATAATGATTGCTCTGAAGAAATCAGAACCAGAATAGAGAAAGCTAGAGCCACATTCACTAAATTGAAAAAGGTGTTCTGCGGAAGAGATCTAAGTCTAAAACTTAAAATTCGCCTTTTGAGATGTTACGTTATGTCAGTTCTCCTCTACGGGATGGAAACATGGACATTGAAAAAGATCGATACCAAAAAGATAGAAGCATTTGAGTTGTGGATGTATCGTAGAATATTAAGAATACCCTGGACAGAGAAAGTAACAAATGTGGAGGTTTTGCGGAGAGTGCGGAAAGAGAAAGAGCTGATACTTACTGTTAAAAAGCGCAAACTACAATATTTGGGACATGTTATGAGGGGAGATAAATACCAGTTGCTGCAATTGATTATACAGGGAAAGATAATGGGAAAGAGATCTATAGGAAGAAGAAGGCATTCATGGTTGAAAAACTTGAGAGAATGGTACAATTGCACCAATTACCAACTGTTTAGATCTGCAGCATCAAAAATACGCATAGCTTTGATGATAGCCAAACTTCGGAACGAAGACGGCACTTGAAGAAGAAGAATAATGAAATCTTCTATACCTCAGAAAAATGTATAAGGTCAAAAAAGTATTGTCTGTAAAACCTGTCCTGAAATTGCTGAAAATTAACGAAACACTGCATTTACCTCCTGCTTCTTCGTTTTCTTTATTCAAGTGATTGATCATTTGCTGCATATATAAATTGTACTTCACTTGTGTGTTCTTATAATTTGGCGTATATTCTAGAGTAAATGACAGTAAGGAGTATTTTAAGGACAACGCTCATCAAACTAATTAATCTATTTTCTTCACATTTTCTGGCGGTTTTGGGAAGTAGAATGAATATTGATAGCAGCCAATCGTAAGTAGGTGACCAGTATCATATATGTTGTTGAGTAGCTTCGTAAGAGCTGTGATTTGTTGTGCCTCTAATAGCTTTAAAATTACACCATGTACTTTATCAGGTTCTGCCGATTTTGCATCTTTAATTCGCTTATTGGCCATAGTTACTTCTTTATTTGTTATTTCTGGATATAGTAAACAGTAAATTGAATTACTTAAGAATCATTTTGCGAATCATTTGATGCTGGCAGATAAGGTTTAGAGTATGTATTACCTTCCGGATTATTTGTAGTTTCAGCTGGTGCAAAATCTACATTGGTAAAAACATTTCGATCCGTAGGATAGAATCCTGTAAATATATATTCATTTATCGCGGTTTTCATTGTGCCTGCAGTTACAATTGCCAGGTGAAATAGTCTTGCCGTTTGGAATTGAGTCACCACATGACCTGGGCGGCTTTTAGCCATTTTTTCAAGTCATTACTATAATAGTAAGTGCTCAGGGTTTTATAAAACCTATATCTAACGGCCGAAGTCGATGTGTGCAATGTGGAAGGGAGCTTTCATATAATAATATTTCTACATTAGACTAAATCAGATAGGTAAGTTTTGTTTGTAAAATTGATTAAGAAATAGCATCACGACAATTTTTAATAAAATAAAATAATAACTTACCGACCACATTTAAGACGACGAAATAACTTTTTACTGGTTGAGTACTAATCTGACATTCGTAAGTACCAGCATCTCTCTTTTGAGCCCATTTGATTTGTAAAGTCCAGTCGTCCGTTTCAGAATGATGATTTGCTTGAAAACGCTGATCGCTGGTGTAAGTGTAGCTAGATACTGTGAGGATATGAATGTCTCTGTGCCTGATCCATGACACCTGAAAACATAAATCCTTGTTAAACATTATTTAACCTAGTTTATTTTTTATGACATAGACATTAGTCATTCAGTCAGTTGCAATAGATTCTCTAATTAGACAAATTAAATTTAGTTCACCATGCTAAGATTGAAATATTTTTGTTTGAGTGAAAAAGCCGTAATAATTTTAGTCCAAGTCGTAAAAGGGAAATGATCATTTGCTTTCGTGTAGATACATCGGGTGGTTGCCATGGTCCAATTTTATTTTTTAATTTCTGAAGCTTTGATAGTATGGATTTCCATTTATTCTACCAGATTTCCCAGATATTACATAAAGTACCTTTTTAGATCCATACTAACAGATTGGAGGGACATTTGGGTACTGTTCATTTATGGCTTATTTTTGGTGGAGAACAACTACTAAGAAAAATATATCAGCTACTAGTGCAAGTATAAGAAAAGAAAGTAATGCCATCGGAGTGGTATTAGGCCCGCATATGCCCTCTGCATAAAAAAGGAGACAAACTGAAGTGTGACAACTATAGAGGTATAGCCTTATTAGACACGGTATACAAAATCTTGGCAAGAACATTGAGAAATAAACTAAATTGCTACAAGGAAAGAATCCTGCATGAATATCAGGCCAGCTTTAGAAAGGACAGACCTACTGTAGACCAAATCTTCTCATTAAAGGAGATACAAACGACTTGTTATAAAGGTAAACTTTCCCTGCATGTTTTGAATGTGGATTTTAGACAAGCATATGATAGAGTCGATAGAGTCAAAATGTATCGAGCAATCGAACATTTGGGTATAGCAATGAAACTGATCCGGTTAGTTAAAATGACACTTAATAACTCTACGTGTGAAATTGCTTGGCAGGGACACATATCAGATCAATTTACGGTTGCAAAAGCTTGAGACAGGGAGATCCTTTATCCACTACATTATTCAACTTAGTGTTAGAAACTGTAATCAGAAAATGCAGAATAAGGTGGAAGAAACGATCATGAAAAATGAGCACTAGTGCTTGGCATTTGCTGACGATCTAACGATCCTAGCAAAAACGGAGAAACAAATTAAGAAGTGTTGTGAAGAAAATCATAGAAGAAATTCGGATTGGAACTAAATGAAGACAAAACCAAATATATGATCATGGGAGGGACAGAAGGGAAAAAAGAAGACTTTAGAGTGAGGTCAGTAAGTGGTAAAAGCTATAGTTTTAAAAGGGTGGACAATTTTGAATACCTGGGTGTAGTTTTCGATGAAAATGGAAAAGATAAATGGGAGCTCAAAACCAGAATAGCAAAAGGGAATAAAAAATTAGATAGTTTAAGAGCCCTACTGAACTCAAATTACGTTTCTAGACAAGGTAAACTCAGAATATATAAAACAGTAATTGGACCCACAGTAAGATATGCCGGTGAGACATGGACATTAAATAAGAAGGAAGAGGATACTCGGGAAAGATGGGAAAGGAAAATATTGAGACGCATATTCGGAGGAGCGAAGATAGAAGATGGTTGAGAGGGAAGAACCAACAACGAATTAATGGCTTTTATACAAAGAACCTACCATTACCAAGTTCGTCAAGGCACAAAGAATCAAATGGTTGGGACATGTGGAAAGAATGGCATCAAATGGAATGCCTAAAAGTGGTAATAACCCAGAAAATTAATCGGCCTCAAAAGAAGAGGTAGACCCAGAACGAGGTGGATTAGTAAAAGCGGTGGAAGACCTTAAACACGTGAAGGTGAGTAACTGGAAATAAAAGCAGAAAATAGAAGCGAAAGGAGATATATTGTACACCAGGTCCTTAAGAGGTCCTTAAGGTCCTCTTAAGGACCTCTTAAGGACCTCTTAAGGACCTGGTGATACAGTATAAATATATACATATTTAAGTTAAAGTTGTGTTTAAAATAATTGTAATTAGTTAATATTAGGATTATGTTGTAAAAAAATGCCCTAGGCCTTAACGGCCTGTTGTGCGTAAAAATAAATGAATAAGGTTTAAAATTGCTTCCATTTAAGTAGTTTCATTGCATGATGGATTCTGCGGGAATATGGAAGATTGAAATTTGACGAGTCATTCATCATAGATATGTTTAAAATTTTATTTATTGGAATTATTTTATTTACATGTATGTTAGAAGCGCTTAAGACTGGGTTCACCTATTTTAGCTTGTATGCTATTTATCAGAGTTATTAAGTATGCCCCAATTATAATTCTTAGGGAGGTGTTATATAACGTATCCAATAGATTTACCGTTGTTTTTCTAGTAGATGCATATGCTACACATCTTTAATCTAGCTTGGAATGAATTAAGGATCTATATAACATGAGCAGTGTTTTACCATCAGCACCTTAAGTTCTGTAAGCTAGGTATTTTAACAAATTAAGGCCAATGCGACATGAAAGAACTAACTGCTGAATATGACTTTTCCAATTTAACTGTTGAGCAAATATTATTCCTAGGAATTTTATTTCGTTTGTATAGGAAAGATTTTGATTCTCAAAAACCAAAACCAGACCTTAGGGACCAATTAACTAGTTTATTAAGGTGTTCTTGTAATATTGACGCCATATTATTAACGTTATTGCCTTTGATGTAAAGAATCAGGTCATCAGCATATAGTCTTGTCTGGACAGTTTTCGCAATGCTTTTTATGATATCGTTTATTGCTATTAAAAATAGAGTAGGACTGATAATCGATCCTTGTGGGATTCCATTAGTTGTGCTCTAGTATAAGATATAGCACCGTTTTCTTGGACTTGAAATGTTCTTTGAGTTAAAAAATTGCTTCTTCTTCTTAGAGTGCCATATCCCTAAGGAACGTCGGCGACTACCATGCTTATAATATTATTATACTGATCTCGGTCTTGGGCTACGTGTAGCAATTGGTCCGCTGTCAAACCTGTCCACTGCCGCAAATTCCTCAACTAAGAGAGTTTCCTCCGTCCTATCCATTTCTTTCCTTCGATTTTACCGTTGAGAATTAGCCGAAGGAACTCATATGTTGGTCCTCTGATTATATGTCCAAGATATTCTAGTTTACGCCTTTTAATAATATTTAATAGAGTTCGTTGATGTCCCATTCTTCGAAGAACTTCTTCGTTTCTGGTTCTGCTAGTCCATGGAATTTTTAGTATCCTTCGATACAACCACATCTCAAACGCCTCGATTTTATTAATGATATCGGCGTTTAAAATCCAACTTTCACATCCATACAAAAGTACAGACCACAGGTATCATCTTGTAAACTTTTCACGGATTTCCAAATTTAATGAGTTATTGGACAATAGAGGCTTGAATTTTTGAAATGAGTTTCTTGCCTGTTCAATTCTATATCGAATTTCGAAGGATGGATCTAGATTTTGGGTAGTCCAACATCCAAGGTATTTGAATCTTTGAACTCTCTGCAGCGGTTGTTGCTGCAGAAAATTGCTTATGTAGGCCAAAATATTTCCTTGATATCCCAGCTTTTTTTAAAATGTTCAATATACGGTGTTTCCATACTATGTCAAATGCTTTAGTTATGTCAAAGTAAATTGCCATACATTTTTGGTTATTTTTAAAAGCTTTGTGAATAGCGTTTTCCAGACCGATGATGTTGTCTTTTGTAGATCTGCCTGGTATAAATCCAGCTTATTCGATGATAAGTTGATCATTGTATTCCAAGGTCCACATTAATTTTTTGTTAACTATTTTTCCATAAGTTCACATAAGGAACATGTTAATGAGATAGGACGATATGAATCTGGGTGTAATTTATCTTTATTTGCTTTGATATGGCATTTTTTCAGATTTTTGGGAAAAATTGGAATAATTTTTGTCACCCAATAATATTAAAAATTTTGAGCAGAAACTCTTTAGCTACTATTGGAAGTTTTTTAATAAATTGTATTGGTATGTCATCTGAACCTGGTGAATTGTCTTTCATGGTATTAAGTACTTAAAGTAAATTGCCATACATTTTTGGTTATTTTTAAAAGCTTCGTGAATAGCGTTTACTAGAACGATAATGTTGTCTTTTGTAGATCTGCGTGGTCTAAATCCAGCTTATTCGATGATAAGTTGATCATTGTATTCCAAGGTCCACATTAATTTGTTGTTAACTATTTTTTCCATAAGTTCACATAAGGATCATGTTAATGAGATAGGACGATATGAATCTGGGTGTAATTTATCTTTATTTGCTTTGATATGGCATTTTGCCAGAATTTTTGGGAATGATTTTTATCACCAAATGATATTAAAAATTTTGAGCAGAAACTGTTTTGCTACTATGGGAAGTTTTAATAATAAATTGTCTTGATATGTCATCTGAACTGGTGAATTGTCTTTCATGGTATTAAGTGCTTCTGGAAACTCCCCATAACTAAGGGGTGTATTGTTTGGGTTGAAAATCGTTAGAGATTGTAATAGGTATTGCTCCTTCCTTTTATTTATAGATTAGGAATTGGTTACTGTAAATTTGGCTGGAAGAGAAGTTTTAATCAGCTAGTTCATTTACTATAGCTTGTGGGTCAGTTAGTAACGTTCTTACTTTTTCCAGACTTACAATTGCTTGATAGGTGTGCTGTCCTGTTGTTTTTTTAA